TAGGTCAGAAAGGGATAACTCACTATTACAACAACTGGAGTCAGAAGAATAACTATACCTGAAATAAAATACGTCTTCCATGTAATCATCCCACATAAATACATATACATTCATAATTACACATACACTATATTGCCAAAAGCATTGTGCCAGCCCTCCAAATCATTGGATTCAGGTGTTCCAATCACATCCATGGCCATAGGTGTATAAAATCAAGGACTTAGGCATGCAGACTGCTTCTACAAACATTTGTGAAAGAATGGGTGTTCAGGTGTGGTATAGGTTGCGACCTGTGTAATAAGTCCATCAGTTCAATTTTTTTGCTACTAAATATTCCACCGTCAACTGTCAGTGGTATTATAACAAAGTGGAAGCAATTGGTTAAACTAGCAACTCAGCCATGAAGTGGTAGGCCAAGTAAAATGACAGAGCGGGTTCAACGCATGCTGAAGCGCACAGTGAGCAGAAGTTGCCAACTGTCTGCTGAGTCAATAGATAAAGACCTCCAAACTTCATGTGGCCTTCAGATTAGCACAGAGTCCTGACTTCAACCTGACAGAACACCTTTGGGATGAATTAGAGTGGAGACTTCTAGCCAGGCCTTCTCGTCCGACATCAGTGCCTGACCTCACAAATGTGCTTCTGGAAGAATGGTCAAACATTCCCATAGACACACTCCTAAACCTTGTGAACAGCCTTCCCAGAAGAGTTAAAGCTGTTATAGCTACAAAGGGCGGGCCAACTCAATGTTGAACCCTACGAACTAAGACTGGGATGCCATTAAAGTTCATGTACATGTAAGGGCAGGCGTCCCAAAACTTTTGGCAATATAGGGTAGCTAAGGGTTGGCCTGCAGGGAAGTGATTGCAGCATTCTCACAATTAGCCACACAGGAATAGCTACTATGAACATTGAAGGTGGTTACCTGTGTCATCACTGCTTATTACCCTCCCATTCACTTTAAGATGGCGCTGGCTAGATGGCTCAACAGGGCGCCTTACATCTGGAACATGTGACAAGTGCCTGCCAAGGGTGCAGCAGCTCTTATTAACTCCTACAGTAGCAATCTTCTTGTGCTGTCAGAGTTAACATGAGCAGCTGCACCTTTGATAGGCCCTCGGAGGGCTTTGGATTTTCACGAAGCACAGCAGTCACTAACACATGGGACACGCTTCACCCCTGGTATGGTTTTAAAAACAAATCCCAAAACTTCAACTTTAAGACTGGAAGCAAGTTTTTACATTGATATTTATTTGGACAACACGGTGCCTGATGGCTGACAGGTGGACTTTGTAGTGAACACATTCCATACTTTATCATTAGTTGGTAACAATGACAGCTGAATCAACAGGTTTGCTTTGTAAACAAATCTATGTGACCGGTATGATTGACTGTTAAAATGATGACATGATCAGAGTGGTTCCAGATCGTTGGTGAGAAACCACTGCCGCTAAAGTCCTACCATTCATGCAGACACCTATCTGGCTCCATAATAGATGAAAATTCACTAAGGATTGGGCACTATGCTGAGGAACATTAATCTATAGATTGCAGGCAGGATCCAGTTTAGGACCTTTTTTTATTTTATTTTTTTCTTATTTAGTAGTTTCTGCTGTCATCTGTGTTCCTAATAGGAAGCATTCCTTTCATGATGAAGGTAGGAATCTCAACTCACCAGTGCAAAGTTAATAAAAACACAAAACAGTAGTCTTCTGATGTGATTAGCTAATACACACAACTATGTCTGTTAACCACTTTAGCTCCAGGCCATTTCTGGCACTTTTTGTTTATCTTTAAAAATGAGTATTTTTAGCTAGAAAATGTCTTAGAACCCCCAAACATTATATTTTTTTTTAAAGCAGAGGCCCTAGAGAATAAACTGGTGGTCTTTGACTTTTTTTTTTTTTTTTTTTTTAAGTCACAAGGTATTTGCACAGCGGTTTTTCAAACAAAATTTTTGGGAACAAATACACTTTTTAATTTTATTGCAAAATAACGCAATACATAACCAATTTTGTTGTAAAATATAAAAGATGATGCTATGCAGAGTAAAAAGATAGCAAACACGTCTCGCTTTAAAAACTGTGCACGCCTATGCAACGGTGACAAATGGCGTGAATTTTATTATTCATAGGTGACATTTTTTTAAAGCCTTTACAAGTTACCACTTTAGATTTACAGAGGAGGTCTAGTGTTAGAATTACTGCCTCACATGTGTGGGACTATCGCTGTTTGTGTGCATGCGGGACCGACTCATGCATTTGCTTTTGCTCGCATGTCAACATCCCCTGTGACAGCAATAGACAGGTGACATGTATTTTTATGGAGGGATCTGGGGTTTATGAGACTCCCAAATACCTCCTATGCACTTTAAAGCTTTCAAAATGCCAAGATAGCTGACTGCCGGCTGTAAAAAATTATACCAGGGTGATACCTGCAGCAGAAGCATCATTCTGGTACAACCACGGAAAGTCCAGCAACATAGGGTACAGCGCTAGTCTGGCAGTGGTTAATATATACCTCCTAGATTGTAAGCTCGAAAGAGCAGGGCCCTCGATCCCCTCATGTTTTGCATTGTATTGTATTGGTATTGTTCTGTCACATGTTCTGTCCCCCTTTGTAATGTACAGCGCTGAGCGAACTATTGGCGCTTTATAAATACTGTATAATAATAATAATAATATATACAATATGCTACATGCAATGACAATGCTTTGCATGGATTCCTTATGAGCAAATAAAAGAGAAACAGGAGTACCTGTTAAGACATTGTCATGTCTGGAAAACAGCAATTCATTAATGAAACTTTTCTTGTAAATCTCAACATGCAGTATTTCTGTTGCTGGTAACACTGATTGCTTCGGTGGAGACGAGTCAAGCCAGTGACTAAGATGTAATTGTGGAGTACTTATTACAGGTACTTAGCCCTGTCAATATGGGGCTTGATCTCGCTTGAAGTGGCATGTGATATATTTGACATGGAGCATGCAAATGGCAGCCCTTATTTCTATGCTTATGGTTCCTTTAGTGTGCTTTAAAGCATCACCTTCACCTTCTGGAACATGCTATTCCTGTTGCAGCTCCTGCCCCCCTCCTTCTGATCTCCTTTCCCTGTGAAAGCAGGCAGGTGACCCTCTCCCCCGCAGCCACTATCACATATAAAATCGGTGCAACTGTGCGGGGTTCTACCTTCACAGTCCTGTCATTCAATCACACCGATCTGTGAATGAATAACTACAAGTTCCATCTGCCACCTAAGCAAACAAATTTTGTAGTTCTCGATGGACTACAGACACACTGATCAGGGTGCTCATAATCCATTCACTCTTCCTCTAACTAAAGTCAGTACAGAGCTACTGGCAAAAGCTGGAGAAAGAGTGTGCAGGAGCTTGACATTGCACCCATAATCCACTGATTTAAGGTGCAATGCTTTGTAAACTTTCGTAAGCAAAAATATAAATGCACATTTTTTCCTGCACAAAATATGTGCATTTATTATTTTTTCCCTAAAAGGTGTACTTAGTTTTTAAATTTCAGCAAATTAAATTTTAGACAGTGCAATACAATACAAAATTAATTTAGCTTTTCTTTAACAACTGTAAAAAATTAAGGAAAAAAGACAAATCATACCTGATTACCAATTTTAACTTGCTCTACTGGAAGATGAAGTCTTGATCTACAGGGGAAAAACCAAGTCAGCGATAGTTAATGAAAAGTAATGCACCTTAATGAAAAGGGTGCTGAACATTTTTTGTAACCAATTAGTAGTCAGGAAATCAAACCCATGCCACACAATTTTGTTCTACATTCAAACATTTCTGCAGCAAAATCATGACTGCAAACTTCACACTAAAAAAAACAAACATGCAAAGCAAATCCAAGAAATATATTCTAATGGATAAATAGTAAACACTGCTGTGCACAAAGGAAAATAACACAGTGCATGTCCTTTTCAAATAAAAGATGGTGGATTATGACAAACAACACATAAAACATTCTCATGTTTTGGTCTATAAAACAACATAAGCTGATAAAAAAGCATGTCAAGCATTATGCTAAAATAAAAAGCAGAAGGCAGAATTTAACAGCTTTGTTTCATAACGATGTCAGAATTCACAGACTGTAACTGGTCCAAATAAATCTCAGGGATCTAAGAGACATAACCAACTGCAGCAAATAACATGGAGGTACTACAACCAAATCAAATGTCCAAGTGGATGGAAAGTATTGGTGGTAAGTCTTTAGTTCATAAGATAAATTGTAGAAAATGCTGTACACAATTTCTTAATATGCCTGTAGTAAATGAGCATGTAGGTTCATGTGCATCTTGTATGGAAAACACATCTTCCAATGGTTAAGCTAACCCCTACCAAACATGCTTCCTATATAAAGCTGATCAATACAGTGTCTTGAAAAAGTATTCATACCCCTTTAAATTTTCCACATATTGTCATGTTACAACCAAAAACGTAAATGTATTTTATTGGGATTCTGTGTGATAGACCAATACAAAATGGCACATAATTGCGAAGTGTAAGGAAAATGCTAAATGATTTCCAAATTCTTACAAATAAATATATGAAAAGTGTGGTGTGCATTTGTTTCAGCCCCCTTTACTCTGATACCCCTAACTATAATCTAGTGGAACCAATGGCCTTCAGAAATTCACCTAATTAGTAAATAGAGTCTACCTGTGTGTAATTTAATCTCAGTATAAATACAGCTGTTCTGTGAAGCCCTCAGAGGTTTGTTAGAGAACATTAGTGAACAAACAGCATCATGAAGGCCAAGGAACACACCAGCTAGGTCAGGGATAAAGTTGTGGATAAGTTTAACCGCTTGCCTACAGGGCACTTATACCCCCTTTCCTGCCCAGGCCAATTTCCAGCTCTCAGCGCTGTCACACTTTGAATGACAATTGCGCGGTCATGCAACACTGTACCCATATAAAATTTTTATCATTTTTTTGTGACAAATATAGCTTTATTTTGGTGGTATTTAATCACCTCTGGGTTTTTTATTTTTTCTTAAACAAACCAAAAACCACTGAAAATTTTGAAAAAAAAAAAAGTTTCTTCTTAGTTTTTGTTATAAAATTTTGTAAATGACGATTTTTCTCCTTCACTGATGTGCGCTAATGAGGCTGCAGTGATGGGCACTGATAGGCTGCACTGATGGACACTGATAGGTGGCACTGGTAGGTGGCACTGATGGGCATTGACAGGCATCACTGAAAGGCAGCACTCATATATGGCACTGATAGGCGGCACTGACTGGCACTGTTAGGTGGTACTGACTGGCACTGATAGGCGTCACTGACAGGCACTGATAGGCGGCACTGACGCACACTGATAGGCGGCACTGGCTGGCACCGATAAGCGGCACTGACTGGCACTGATGGGTGACACTGAAAGGCAGCTGAGATGGGAACTGATATGTGGAATTGATGTGGCACTGACACGTGGCACTGTTCAGCACTGACAGCTGGCACTGATGGACACTAACAGGTGGCACTGCTGGGGCCACACTGATCATCAGGGTACACTGATCATCAGTGCCCTGATGATCAGTGTAGATGTCCCCTCCGTGGAATGCCGATTACCGGCTCTCTTCTCCAGCTGTCAGCGTGACAACTCGTGAGGAGAGAAATGCCGATAACTGGCATTTCCCTGTTTACATGTGATCAGCTGTGATTGGACACAGCTGATCACATGACCGAGCCAACATCTTCGGCTCTTTCTGTGGATCGGTGATCCGCTGTGTCCGAAGGACACAGCGCACCGCCAATCGCCGCGCGCTCCCTGAGCCACGCATGCGCGGTGAGAATGGGAGAACATCATATGACGTCCTCCCAGAATGAGAGAACCACCTTGCGCCCGTCATTGAACTATATGGCGGGCGGGAGGTGGTTAAAGTAGGGTTAGGTTACAAAAAAAATCCCAAAATTTGAACATCTCATGGAGCACTGTTCAATCCATCATCTGAAAATGGAAAGAGTATGGCACAACTGCAAACCTACCAACACATGGACATCCACCTAAACTGACAGGCCAGGCACGGAGAACATTAATTAGAGAAGCAGCCAAGAGGCCCATTGTAACTCTGGAGGAGCTGCAGAGATCCACAGCTCAGGTGGGTGAATCTGTCCACAGAACAACTATTAGTCGTGCACTCCACAAATCTGGCCTTCATGGAAGAGTGGCAAGAAAGCCATTGTTGAAAAAAAAGCCGTAAGAAGTCCTGTTTCCAGCAGGACACCGACCCTAAACATACAGCCAGAACTACAATGGAATGGTTTAGATCAAAGCATATTCATGTGTTAGAATGGCCCAGTCAAAGTCCAGACCTAAATCCAATTGAGAATCTGTGGCAAGACTTGAAAAATGCTGTTCGCAGACACTCTCCATCCAATCTGACAGAGCTTGAGCTATTTTGGAAAGAAGAATGGGCAAACATTTCACTCTCCAGATGTGCGAAGCTGGTACAGACATCCCCAAAAAGACTTGCAGCTGTAACTGCAGCAAAAGGTAATTCTACAAAGTATTTGCACAGGGGGGCAGAATACAAATGCACACCACACTTTTCACATATTTGTAAAAAATTTTGAAAACCATTTATCATTTTCCTTCCACTTCACAATTATGTGCCACTTTGTGTTGGTCCATCACAGAAAATTCCAATAAAATAAATTTACATTTTTTGTTGTAACATGACAAAATGTGGAAAATTGCAAGGGGTATGAATACTTTTTCAAGGCACTATATATACATAAAACACACACATGGCTATGTGGGTCTAACAAACATGCCTTCTAAGTAATGCTGATTTATAGAAGGCTCTGTGGATCTAACAGACGTGCCTCCTATGTAGCAATGATATAGAGCTGGCTGTGTGGGTCTTTTCAGTGAACAGTACATCTAGGCAGCTTGATCATTAGTCAATGTTAAACCATCACATAATTTCAATTTTTTTCATGTTTAAAGCAAAACGTCCAATGTAATAAGAACATGGGGTATTCATGGAATATGTCTTCTTATCCCTCTGCTATGTCTTGCTGACTGACACTATAGTCCTGGCAGGATAACAGTACAGCAATTCATAACAAAAACACTAGAAAGCATATTGGATACCTTTGTCCATTATAGGGACCTTTAGTGTATATACAGTCCTTGCTATCAATGTGGAAAGGAATATTTGTGGTAAGCCAGTGAAACATAATGCACCTCTTCCTGCTGCTATGGGATGTGAGACTATTAAACTATGGGGCTTATTTACTAAAGCTGGAGAGTGCAAAACCAGGATCACTTCTGTATACGAATTAGCTTCCAGGTTTTATTGCACAAGCTGAGGGTAGAAGCTGATTGATTTCTATACAGAAATGAGCCTGATTTTGCACTCTCCAGCTTTATTAAGTAAACCCCTGTATGTGTATGTGGTTATCTGAAATAGCTGTGGCCCTAGGTTATTTGTCCACTGAACATACAAACTGTACCTAGTGTAGATCCTAATGAAACTATCATGTCCACTTACTGTTGTGACCATTGCAAAATGGAGCTGAATAAGCTATAAGGATAATATACAGAAGGTAAAATAAGTAATGAACACGTCACCATTTTTCTAGGTAAAAATATTTGTAAAGGTGCTATTGACATGAAATTTTCACCACATGTTGGTAACAACCCATGCAATCCATACATACAAAGAAACCAAAACAAATAAGTTCAAATAAGTTATAAAATGAAATGACACCGGGAAAAAGTATTGAACACATGAAGAAAGGGAGGTGCAAACAGGCATGCAAAGCCAGGACACCAGCTGAAATCTATCAGTAATTACAAAGCAATATTGCCCCTTGTCAGTGCAAATTAATATCAGCTGGTTAAGTCTTAACTGATGGCTTAAAAAGGGGTCTCATTACCAAGGTGTCACACAAGAAACATCTCATAATGGATAAAAAGCAAAGAGCCCTCTCAAGACCTTCGCAACCTTATTATTGCAAAACATAGTGACGGCATTGGTTACAGAAGGATTTCTAAACTTATGAATGTTCCCATGAGCACTGTTGGGGCCATAATCTGGAAGTGGAAAGAACATAATTACACCATAAACAGGTAATGACCAGCTGCTACTTGCAAGATTTCTGACAGAGGAGTGAAAAGAATTATCAGAAGAATTGTTCAAGAGCCAACCAAGGACCACTTGTGGAGAGCTTCAGAAAGACCTGAAATTAGCAGCTACAATTGTTTCAAAGAAAACAATAAGTAATGCACTCAACCACCATGGCATGTATGCACACTCACCACATAAGACTCCATTGCTGAAGAAAAAGCATGTTGAAGCTCATCTAAAGTTTGCTGCATAGCATTTAGACAAGCCTGTGAAATACTGGGAGAATATAGTCTGGTCAGATGAGACCAAAATTGAACTCTTTGGATGCCATAACACACCATGTTTGGAGGTCAAATTGCAGTGCACATCACCCCAAAAACATCATACCAACAGTGAAGTTTGGAGGTGGGAACATCATGGTGTGAGGCTGTTTTTCAGCATACGGTACTGGCAAACTTGATGTCCTTGAAGGAAGGATGAATGGGAAAATGTACCAAGACATTATTGATAAAAATCTGCTGCCATCTACCAGGATAATGAAGATGAAACGAGGGTGGACATTTCAGCAAGACAATGATCCCAAATACAAAGCCAAGGAAACTCTCAATTGGTTTCAAAGAAAGAAAGAAAATAAAGCTGCTAGAATGACCCAACCAATCACCTAACTTGAGTCCAATAGAAAATCTATAGAAAGAACTAAAGATCAGAGTTCATAGAAGAGGCCCACGGAACCTTCCAGATTTGAAGACTGTGTGAAAGAATGGGACAAAATCACACTGGAGCAATGCATGTGACTAGTTTCTCCATACAGGAGGCGTCTTAAAGCTGTCATTACCAGCAAAGGATATTGTACAAAGTATTAGCCTCTTCCCGCTCAGCCTATGGACGAATGGCGGCCGATAAAAACCCTCACCTTTCCGGGTGGACGCCATATGGCGTCCTTTCGGGCATGCGCAGTTTGCGTGCCAGCAGAGCCGCGCAGCGGCGTGATCTGTCACCGGCCGTGTACCTCGGACATGGCCGATGACAGATCTGAGTACCGGCCCCGTTGCCTGTACCATGTGACCTGTTGTGACCAATCACAGCAGGTCACATGACAGTTGTATACAATGGATGGCTTCATTCATGCCATCCATTGTATACTAGTGTGTCTAGCTGTGAATGGTCACAGCGATCACATGCACAAGCTGGGCCAATCAAAGCCTAGCTGTGTCATGTGATTAGCTGTGGCCAAATCACAGCTAAGCACAAAAAAAAAAAAAAAACCCTGAATGAATTGATGTCATTCAGAAAAATGCTTGCTTATAGCAAAGTAATTCTTTGCCATAAGAAAATTGTGTAATGAAAAAAATAAATAAATACTGATCACTTCCCCAAAGTAGTACAATGTTACTATGGTAACATTGTACTATTTTGGTCATAGTGAAATATGAAAAAAAAAAATCTTAAAAAAAAGAAAAAAAATGTAATAAAAAATTAAAAATAAAAAAAATTAAAAAAAATGTATATTTTTTTTCATACTATCACCAGTCAGTGTCCCTGATCACCGCCATGCCAGTTATATGATGATGCTGTACTGCACTGGTGACAGTATGTAAAAAAAAAAAAGTGAAAAACATTTTTTTTTACTTTTTCATTATCCGAAAAATTATGACAAAAAAAATACAACGTCAAAAAACTCGCCATGCCTCTTATGAAGTACGCCGGACTGTCTACTCTGCAAAAAGGGGTCATTTGGGGATATCTGTACTATTCTGACATTCTTGGACCTCAAGAAATTAGATTGGCTGTCAGTACTTCAGGATTGATCAATTTTCAAATATATCCCATAGTTTGTTAACTCTATAAACTTTCCTACAAACTAAAAAAATACATCCTAATTTGGGTTATTTTCACCAAAGACATGTAGCAGAATACATCTCGGCCTAAATTTATGAAGAACAATTATTTATTTGCAAACTTTTATAACAGAAACAAAGAAAAACGTTTTTTTTTTTCTTCAAAATTTTCAGTATTTTTTTGTTAATTTAACAAAAAATAAAAACCTCGGTGGTGATTAAATACCACCAAAAGAAAGCTCTAGTTGTGTGAAGAAAATGATAACATTTTAGTTTGGGTACAATGTTGTATGACCGCGCAATTGTCATTCAAAGTGTGACAGCGCTGAAACCTGAAAATTGGCCTTGGCAGGAAGGGGGTAAAAGTGCCCTGTATGGAAGAGGTTAAATAAATTTCAGTTAGCGTGTTC